CGATCAAATTTCAATACTACTACATAATAATTATATAGAGTCCTTGTTGGGTTCAAGAGCTGAGATCATAGACTCATAGTTAGTATCTCATCCACCTATTCAGATTTTAATTATCAAACAAGATCACATAGCTAATAAAACAATGGTCTTCTCCAACACTGAAAATGACAAAATGTAAAGTAGGCTGCGTTAATCCCCAACAACACCAACAATAAATTCTCGCTTAATTGCCATAAATTTATGCTTGTATAAGAAAAATGCCAACAATTTTGGTAAACCACAGCCGAATTCACAGTATCAAGAAATGATATAAACAGCCAACTAACCAGAAGCTCAGCCTCACCACCCCAAAAATCCGGCCTCCCAATGCGTTGGCAGTAGCTGCAAAGGCACTATTAAGTTAGAAGCTTTCAGATTATTTATTCTTATCGGTAAACAAAAGAAAATTTGCAGAAATGTCGCCTTTTTCTATGTTTCCAAAAACGGCATTTTTATCTTTTACAACCAAAACAACAACCGATGAAGACAGATATTATGACTAAAGGTGGCATTTTCGCAAAGCGAAAGCGAATAAAGTGACATTTTTTACAAAATTCCCGTACACAATAAACCTCAAAGCCACCAACAAACTCAAACGCCTTACCTTCTCAGAGGCTCATCCACAGTAATTGCAACCAATGCCTCTTGGTATTGAAGACGCTCTTTTTCACTGTCACAAATAACTTCTTTTACAGCCATCCGTAATTCATCTGCCAATTAAATCACTTATCATAAGTTCCCCTCTCAACATTCACTGAATGTTTCTGAAAGGCCTATATAGAGAGATCATATAAAGACATCACATAAAGCTCAAAACTTTTTAAGCAAACCATAAATGATCAAAATTGGAAAAAACCTGCACTGTCCCTCTCTTCCCTCGGCCCGAGCACCATGCCCTTGTTGAGAGCCATTCCTTTCACCTGACTCAAAGCAAAAGACCACCAAAAAAATAAAAATAAAAAAATACTGTAACTTCCACACAACCCATGATTGAATATAAGGGTTTTTACCAATTGGGCTTGTGATTCAAGAAAACAGAAATAAAATGCAGCTGCTTCAAAATTCGAAGCTCCAATATGGCACAATGGGCAACTTGGGACAATTTAGTGTTTAGAAAAAAACATCATATTCAAGATGAACTAAAGGCTTCAAAGTTCCCATTGTTGGATTGGAAATATGGGCAACTTGGGACAATTTAGTGTTCAGAAAAAAAGCATCATATTCAAGATGAACTAAAAGCTTCAAAGTTCCCATTTTTTTTTCCAACATACCAAGGCACGAAACAGGCAACGACCGTCGCCAGTAACCTTCCGAACAGAATATCGCTCCACTTTCTCTTTTGCAGGCGAGCCCATGTCTCTGAAATGGCGGAAAAGCAATTAAAATCACGTCAAATTTATCTCTCACCTCGTAAAAATCCCTTTCACTTTGTAAATTCTCGAGTACAGAATCACTCACGCGGGCTGTCCAATCCAAGCGAAAAATCGCGTCGTCATGCTCGCTGGGGGAAGAAAACGTGCCGTATTTCGAGGGATGTGGCCGGAAATCGGAGCAACCGGCGATGACGTGAGCTCGAACC